CCAGACTCCCGAATATCCTCAAACAATGCGAGCAGCGTAGCAGGTTCCTCAGTGATATTATGCCATTCCTTCTTATTTTGTTTGGGAGCCCTTGGGGGCCGGTGTCCCTCCTGGGAAAGGTGCTACGCAAGCCAAACAGACAAAATGGCCCGTGCATGGAAATGTGGGAAACTGCAAGGAAACCCCTGGGACGATTGTGGTCAGCAGGATGTCCAGCGGCCGCCTGGCCTCTGCCGAAATTCTGTTAGCCTTGCAGAATGCAGGAGTTTAATAGAAAGGCTTCGGGGGTGGTAATTAAGAAGCTGAAAAATGCTGGAGGTTACCAGCCCAGCATCTAAACCACGAGGTCAGAGAATCACCCAATTCTTTAGGTTGGGAGGACCTCTGGAGGACATCTCTTTCAACACCCGGCGACTGGGAGGGAGCAGAGCCAGGATAACCTCTCAAGCTCAACCGAAGGCAGAGCTTCAGTCCCTCAGGGTGTGTGTAATACAAAATGCATGTTTCGTTGGAGGGATACATCAGGCGATGGGAGGCACACAGCCGGTAGGTGGTGGAAGGAACACAGGCAGCGATGAAAACAACTCGAAGATTAAGTCTGGCTTGTTCTGGGACTTGTGAAACATCTTTTCAAGCTTGCTTACAGAACCTGGACTGTCAGTGGATTTCTAGAAGGTACAAAATACGTTTAAGATCACAATTAATAGCCAGAATAGTATGTTTCTTTATCATCCAACTAAGGAAACCATTTCCAGAGGTGACTGGCATGTCTGTTCTGGAAATCAAAAGGCTTGAAATCCTAATGTATTTATGCATTTTTGCAGATACCTTGTCTGACCCATATAGAATAAGCTTTGTGTGCTCCTTTGCGGTCTCTCTGACCTTTCACTTGTTCAGTCTTACTTCGTAAGAAGACATTTGTTTAATGGTCACATCTGTGCATGACACAAAGTGCAGGGGAGCAATGAATGGCATCTTTTACCCCTGACATACTTAGCAAGAATACTAATTCAAGAATTATCACAGTAGGACATAGAGGGTCAATTATACAAGTAGAAAAGGCTTTGCTGAGCTTATATTCCCATTTATCTTCCCTTTCTTGAACACCATTGCTCCACGTAGTCTGTTCCTGTTGTTTTAAACACATGCTTTAAAGTGGTTCCGTTTGGTCACAATTGGTGTTGTTGGATACCGTCATACCCTAGGACTTTCAGATTTGCTTGTTTGGCCTTTTTTATACATACTCATTAGATAGAAGCTATAAAGCAAGATAGCGCGAGTGACTCATTTCACGGAGAGACAGTACATGCATGTTCTCTTCTTTATCACCACGTGATGGAATAAAAAAATCAGGCTAACAAAAGCAAAAATGCAGAAGCGGAAGACCTAGCTAACATTGATTCTCCCTGGTAGACATGAAAAAAATAACCAGAATCCTCTCCAGAGTCCAAAGCGATTAAATTTGACTAGGATCCTCAAAAATGACACAAAACCGATGCAAGCTGAAAATGATTTAAAACCCAAAGGACAAAATCCAACAGCCCAGACTGGGCACACCATTGCCTATATCTAACAATCAAGGAAAGCTTTGATAGACCCAAAGTCAGGAACTTTTCTGCTGTGTGTAACATGACCAGCAACCCCCGTTATTGTTAAACTGGTTGATGAGATCCATTAAGACACCGGCTTTTCAGTTATTTATATTTTTGTCAAAATATTTGAGCTAAAATTTCCTCTGCTGGAGGTGGAATATTTATAAGATGTTCCAGGTAAAAATAGTTCTGTTTTTTTTTTTTTTTTTTTTTTTGGAATGAAACTATAAGAAATGATGATAGTTTCTCGTGTTCTTTTTGAGCAGTTCTGTGTTGTGTTTTGGGGGGGAGGGGATACCATATCTTTGGCAGAGGAGCAACCTCTTCCAAAGGAGTGGCATTTGCCACCTGGCATGTCATTCATACTTGGCAAACTTACCAAAAGAAGATGGAGCCAGACTCTGCTCGCAGTGGCCCTGAGAACGTGTAAGAGGCAACAGCCATGACTTGCAACAAGGGGAGATTCTTGCTGAGCATCAAGAAATGCCTCTGGGGTTGGGATGCCGGGCCAGGGGCAAAGGGGTGCCTTGGGTTTTTTTTTTTTTTTCCTTTTTTTTTTTTTTTTTTTTTCCTTTTTTTTTTTTTTTTTTTCTTTTTTTCTTATTTTTAAAAGTTTCCAGGTAAAAATAGTTTCTTTTTTTTTTTTTTTTTTTTCTTTAGGAATGAAACTATAAGAAATGATGATAGTTTCTCGTGTTCTTTTTGAGCAGTTCTGTGTTGTGTTTTGGGGGGGAGGGGATACCATATCTTTGGCAGAGGAGCAACCTCTTCCAAAGGAGTGGCATTTGCCACCTGGCATGTCATTCATACTTGGCAAACTTACCAAAAGAAGATGGAGCCAGACTCTGCTCGCAGTGGCCCTGAGAACGTGTAAGAGGCAACAGCCATGACTTGCAACAAGGGGAGATTCTTGCTGAGCATCAAGAAATGCCTCTCCCCAGGCCATATTTCAGGGCTGGTGTGGGTGCCCAAGAGGCTGAGGACTCTCCATCCTTGGAGGTGCTCAGAAGACACTTGGACAAGGCCCTGAGCAACCTGAACTAGCTCAGGGTCCCAAGTGCCTTCTCCCTGCTCCTGGGGCTTTGGCTGTGTGAGCTTGGGGCCAGATCAGAGACAGCGTGGCTGAGGGCTGCCCCTTCCCTCTGGTGGCTTTGGAGAGAGTCTCCAGAAATCTCTGCTGGAGCCTCAGCCAGTAAGGTGCTTTTAAGCTGGTGCTCTTGCCCTTGGCTCCTGCCTGAGCAGTCTTGCCTGTGCCTGACCATGCTCTGTATTGATCTAGACCCATTGATAGGCTTCCTGGCTCGACCCAAGTCCCATGTCATGATGGACTTGTCTGGCAATCATTGGACTGTTGCTCACCCTGGTTACTGCCTCCAGACCTGATCCTGATGCTGATTTGGCTTCTTAGTTGGACCTTGGACCTGCCTCGTCACTTCAGGCTTGTCTGACGATGTGGATTCTCAGCCAGACCCAGCTGTTATCGCTGTACCTGCCTTGCTCACCCTTCTCGGGTGTTTCTCCTTGCTGGGTATGTCCCTTCCTCTGCCTGCCCTGTCACCACGCCTGGCTCTCCACTCCTCTTTCTTTGGGGACCAGCCAGCCCTCACTGCCCCCAACAACCTGCTGTGAGCAAGGAGTTGGAGTAGAGACCTCCGGAGGTCCCTTCCCACCCAAGTCTTTCCGTGAATCTGTGACAGTGCTCTAGCCAAGTTAAAAGGAAGGAATAAATCAACTTCTCTGGGCAGGGAAGAAGACTTAGCAGTGAAATCATTGCATTGATGCTTGGGTGCACGATGTATTGGATCTGAGGAAGGAAGAAAGGACTGGAGGAACGAGGACAAGGAAAGAGATATAGGAAAGAGGAAGGTGGAGGGACATGTGGAAATGGACAGCAGTGTGGTTGCTGTAATATTGCTCCATTACCCCGTAAATCCCAGAACAAAAGGGTAGCATCAGATCCCAGCAGAAGGTATGTCCACAGCAGCCTCTCCTCTCCAGCTGCGCTGTCACAAATGATTCACATTCACCTGGCAGCCCCGAATTTTCAGAACAGAAATACCTGCTGCCCTGCAGGCTCTCCACCTCTTTCACTGCATCTCTCAGACACCGTTAAGTGTCCTTCATCTGCGGTCATATTTCAAGGCTGGCCTGCTGGTGATGCACGGGCTGAGAAAAGGGGATGGAGCTGGGCAGTGTGTGACACAAGCATCTCTCTATGGAGAGGCTCCTTATCTAGACCTGCTTCTACAGTCAGCGGTAGTAGAAGGGCAAGTCTTCAAGGGGGACTGGAAAGATGGATTTAAACCCCGTGTCTCCTACACTGCATTGAAACACAAAACTATGATGCATTACAATACATTTATTTCCACAGCAGTCATGAGGTGGGGACTTGAAATAAGATTCATTGCTAATTTAGAAGTCTAAGAACTCGGGCTTTCCTCTGAACAGCATTTCTTGTCATTTTCCCTTACTATTCCTTTGAAATTTCTCCCCAAAATTGAAATGTATCTTAATGGACCCACTCCGGGATAGCCTGAGCCCTGCTGGAAGCCGCAGAGAGGCTGTTTCCCAGTGCAAGTGGAAAGGCAACCCTTGGTTGCAGGAGGGATTAACTGGGGTTTCTGGCGCTGCCTGTGTACGGCTCCATCTCTCGCTTCTGGGGGAGATTTATAGGGCTTCTGCATACAGTGCAGCCTGGAAAGGCATGGACAAACAGTGCAAGCAAATATATTTCCCCGCAGCCTCATTCTGTGACATCATTTCTTTTTAACAGTGAAAATCGCCCAGACCTGAAATCAATCACCCCGTGGCCGAGCGACAGGGAATTGCAAAGCACTGATGTTGACGTGCACTTCAGGAACCACACCACCACTGGTGTCCTCTCTTTTTTTCTGGGGCCATTATGAGTACCAGGTGTATTTTTAAGTATGCTAGTGTTTCCCAAGCCGTCTGGCTTTAAGCAAGCGTACAGCTGTTGTGCTGCACGTGTGTTTGTGTACAGCCACACAAGCCCATTTGATGTACCTCCTAAAGGTTGTTTTGCTAAGGTCTGAGACTTTACTATACAATTTGGAACCTATTTTCTGCAAGAGAACTAGACACTCAGCTGTTCTCCTTGAACCCAAAAAGGGTTGCTAAATGCTTCAACTCTTTTGGAAAATTAAGTCACTTATTTAGGTACCCCAAGCTGGACTTAAGAATCAAATTGAAGCATCTACTTAAAAAACCAACAAGTTTCCCTCAGTCATTACTATTAAATCCACTCTGTCAGCAGTGAGGACCGTATCTGTGTCCTGATTATTCCCAGGACTGCTTCATGCTACAGTGCAGCCAGGAGGTGCTCAGGCAGGATGGACTTGCTACAGGAACCTGGGCTGAGCAGACCTACACACACCAGGTTTGTTTCAAGCCCTTCTTCCCCACTATGTTTCCTGTACCAAAAGAGTCAGGTGGGACCACGTCACCAAAACATCTCCGTTTATTCAAAACAACCTCTCATTCTTCAGCTTTATATCATCACGATCAGCCACGTACAGTCTGCTGGGCTCCCTCAAAGAGTTTGCTAAGTTACCCTGAGCTGTTTCCCACAGTCGTGCTGTAGTTATCGAATGGGTGACCTAGCAACGGTACGACCTTTCTATGGTTATATTTCCGAGTCTTCAATAGGGCCGTTCAAAAATACAGCAGCAGGAAGTGATGGCAAAGATTCGCTGGGACGGATAAAGTTTTCAGCTGGGAACTTCTTTGAACTGGGAGCTTTTGAGACAGCATGATCTTGGGTTGACTTACTCCCCACAACCCGACTCCTAAGCGTCCCTATATCTGAGTCCCAGGCTTGTCCCCGCCGCAGTTTCTTAAGGGTATTATGGAAACCCTCAGTACTAAAGTAGTAGATCAAGGGGTCCAGCATACAGTTCATGCTGGCCAACTGCATTGTGGAAATTAACACTTGGCGCACAGAGGTCTGAGTGCCTTTGTTAACATTAATCACCTGGGCCTTTATCATCCCATAAACTGCCAGGGTAGTGTTGTAGGGCACAAAGCAGATGATGAAGATGACCAGATTGACCACGAGGAGACGGATGGTCTTCTGCTGTCGCAGGGTCTTCGTCTGGTTGTCCTGGCAGAGCTCCTGAAAGATCCGAATCGAGCAGTATGTTACAGTGCTGAGAGGCAGGAGAAACCCCAAGATTTCAGCCAGGACAACTAGAGGAAAGAGGTTCTTCTGCCACATGGTCTCACTAAAGCTTTCGAAGCACAGATAAACGGTCTGGTTATCTGCCTCACAGTGGTTTTGCTTGTGGACTATCGCTGTGGGGATGGATCCCATGAAGATCACAACCCAGACCATCAGGCAAAGGAGCTTAGCCACCTTGGGGCGCCGCAGATGGCGCCAGCGAAGGGGGTGGACGATGGCGACATAGCGATCCAGGTTGATGCACATGAGGAAAAGACAGCTACCATACATGTTGATCTGGAAGACGGAGCCAGAGACCTGGCACAGGGTGTTCCCAAAGGGCCAGTAGTGGTTGGAATAGTAGTAGAGTCGCAGTGGCAGAGGAAGCGTGAAGGTGAGGTCGCTCACGGCCAGGTTGAACATGTAGATCATGACCACAGACTTCAGGCGCAGGTAGCGGATGAATATCCATAGAGCCAACACGTTCAGCACCAGACCTGTAATGGATACCAGGATGTAGCCAGGCAGGAGGAGGCGGTGGTTTAACCTGTAATCGTGGCATGGCTGAGATGTATTGGAAGCTGACATGCCCAGTGGGGATCGGGGGAGAGTCTCGCTGAGATGTCTGAGCCTGCTGATGGGCTAAGGAGGCACAAAGAAAAGCACGGAGAGCAATCATTCCCCTCTAGGAAGCCACAGGCAGGTCATTCCGCTCAACTGCAGCTGGGAGGTAGGTGGGCACACCTCTGTCTTGAAGGATTCGGATTGCTGGTCAGCTGTCATCTGTCAGGGACGGTCAGTCAGCTTCTGCCTCTAGTTCAGCAACTCTTTCCAGTTCTTAAGGGGATGCTGATGTGATGGAGGGTCATTGCCAGTTGTTGGATGTCAGCACAATTCCTGGTCAGAGTGGACGACCAAGACAGGAGAGTTTAAGTTAGAGGAGGAAATCTCTTGAAAGGTCAAAATCCCACCATGATGGCTTCTGCTGCAAGAACTCCCAAAGAAACCAAAAGACTAAGAAAAATGGACAGTAGAAGAGAGAGTAATTACACGGCAGAAGAAGCCAGAGCACAGAAAAAATAATTGTTCTACAGAATCATTTATCACTCAACCCCAGAATATGCACATTGCTTTGATCACTGCTGAGAGTACATGTGTACAAGAAAGGGACAGCACAAGAGCACACAGGGAAAGTACTCAAGGCAGCACCAGAAAAAGAGGGAGAGAAAGAAAAAGAAGAGAGCAAGCATTTTGAAGGGAAGATGCTGACTCAAAGGAACTTAAAATAAAAACTGCATAGTATTCTTATGTATCAGAGAAAATGGACTTTGTACATCCATTGCAGATAAAAAGAATTATACTAGTTAAACTTGGCTCCACCCTAGCTCATTTTCTTAGGTGAAACAACTCATGCAAACTGGAGTTCTAGCTAAGAGGAGTTCCTTACATTGTTTACATTTATACAGTTCCTTTGGATTGGATGTCCTCAGATAATTTTCCTGCTTACAACAACCATAAAGCATGAAGCAGCCCATGTCCCACAAACACAGAGCAGCACAGCCAGGTAAGGGAGCACACAGTGAAGCGGGAAGGGCCATGGAATTCAGGTGGACAAACATACATGTTACTCTGAAGTGGTGTGAGACTGGTAACCACTCTAGATACTAATGGTAGCACTGCCTTGCCAAACATTGATCAATGGGAGTGACTCTGGTGAAAGGCTGCCAAAAAAGTCTGGGGGCTGGAGGGCTTGCTCTATGAGGAGATGCTGAGGGAACTGGGCTTGTTCAGATGGAGATGGGAAGGCTCCAGGAGACATAATAGCAGTCTCCCCATACCTTCAAGGTGGTTACTGGAAGTGGTGGATGAGGGAAGAGCAACTGACATCATCTACCTGGACTTGTGCAAAGCATTTGCCACTGTCCTGCATGACATCTTTGTATCTAAATTGGAGTGATATGGATTTGATGAATGGACCACTTGGTGGATAAGAAATTGGCTGGAAGGTCATACTCAAAGGGTTGCAGTTGATGGCTCAATGTCCAAATAGAGACCAGTGGTGCTCCTCAGGGCTTGGCATTGGGACTGGCACTGTTTAACATCTTTGTCAGTGACATGGACAGTGGGATTGAGTGCACCCTCAGAAAGTTTGCTGACAACACCAAGATGCGTGGAGCAGTTGACACACCGGATGGAAGGGATGCCATCCAGAGGGACCTGAACAGGCTTGAGTGGTGGGCCTGTGCAAACCTCATGAAGTCCAACCAGGCCAAGTACAAGGTCCTGCACCTGGGTCAGGACAATCCCAAGCACAAATACAGGCAGGGTGGAGAATGGATTGAGAGCAGCCCTGAAGAGAAGGCCTTGGGGTGTTGATGGATGAGAAGCTCAACATGACCTTAGCAACGCTTGCTTGCAGCTCAGAAGGCCAACTGTATCCTGGGCTGCATCAAAAGCATCATGGCCAGCAGGCCGAGGGAGGTGATTCTACCCCTCTACTCTGCTCTGGTGAGACCCCACCTAGACTCCTGCATCCAGTTCTGGGGCCCCCAACACAAGAAGGATACAGGCCTGTTGGAGTGAGTCCAGAGGAGGGTGACAAAAATGATCAGGGGGCAGGAGCACCTCTCCTATGAAGACAGGTTGAGAGAGTTGAGGTTGTTCAGCCTGGAAAAGGTTCCAGGGAGACCTTATAGCATCCTTGTAGTACCTAAAGGGGGCCTACAGGAAAAATAGGGAGGGACTCTATCAGGAGTGTAGTGATAGGAGCAGGGTTAATAGCTTTAAACTGGAAGAGGGTAGATTTAGATTATATATTAAGAAGAATTTCTTTACTGTGAAGGTGGTGAGACACTGAAACAGGTTGCCCAGAGAAGTTGCGGATGCCCCATCCCTGGAAGTGTTCAAGGCCAGGTTGAGTGGGGCTTTGATTAACCTGGTTTGGTAGGAGGTGTCCCTGGCCATGGCAGGGGGGTGGAACTAAATGATCTTTATGGTCTGTTCCAACCCAAACCATTCTATGATTCCATGATTTTATGATTCAATTTGCTGATCCTTTTGTGTTGTTGGGCAGGTCCACCACCGAGACAAGTTTCTTAGAGGAACTTCTAGTGGTTTGTCAAGCTCTATCTGAGTGGCTTTCACCCTCCTTGGTGGATGAAAACTTTGTGTGAAGACTTGCATAAGTCTAAAGTATAAGATAACCCAGCAAGATAAGGCAAATGTCCAATAATGTTGTTGGTTTCCAGTGAAATTATTAAATGCCTCAAAAAATCTCAATCAGGATATGCCAACTTTTGCTAGTGCCAAAACCCTGCAATGACTGCAAGCTAAACAGACTGGTGAGACCTTTGTTTTTACTGAGACAATGTGAGTGAGACAGACTCTGTGAGACATTATGATCTACTCAAACATGTGTACCTAGACCAACCAGGTCAAGTGAAGGTGTACCTTGACCAGTCACCAGTCAGATGAAGGTGACTTGTCTCCACAGACAAGCTATTTTTATCCAGAGGTATTCAAGAAATACCTCTAGAGAATAATATGTAAGCACAGTCCACACTAGGTGAGATCAGTGGTCTCTTCTGTCTCAAATCATGGATGGTGATGAGATAATGTAAGAACAGTACAATCAGGCAGTTATACTCCCTGAAGTTCTTTTCCTGCTTCCAGCATATTGTAGCCCAGGGATTTCCTGAGCCGGAGGTGACCTGTTTGTATTCAGTAGACCTCAAGGAACTTTTCTTTCATGATTTTTTCCAGTTGCTTTTTGAGTCCATGTAAAATTTACCATCTACAACATCCAGTGCCAGGAATGCCAATGAGTTCCACAGCTTAATCGCGTCTCAGGTGAAGAACCATTTCCTTGTACTCATTTTTTAAGCAACATCTGCTAGATTCAGCTTAGTTTTAGTGCTGGAAGAGGCAGTGGAAAAAACCATCCCTATTCACCTTCATCTTGTCACTGATGATTTTATAAATGTCTATCATATTTCCCTTCAGTAATTTTTTTTTAATTTTATTTTTTTTTATTTTAATTTTAATTTTTTAATTTTAATTTTTTAATTTTTTAATTTTAATTTTTTAATTTTTTTTTGAGGCTAAGGGTCATTGTCTTCATAGTTGTTCCTTGCAGAGCAGCTGTTCTCTCCTTGTTGCCCTTCTCAGGACCTTTCCACTTCTGCTACTGCTTTTGAGAGCCCTGTGGTAGGGCACTTAAAGCATACACAATGTCGATGATGTGGATGCACAGAGCTGAGTAGGTGGTAGATCTCATTTTCAAGGGGAAATGGTCAGTTCAGGTTGGTTTTCCTCATCACTTAGCTAGATGAAACCTCAGCTGTTATTTTAAGGCCAGTCACTTATGCTTCTCTCAGTCTCTGCAGTGCTTTACAGCCAGCTGTCATCTTTTCTAGCTTGAATAGTTTTATGTCTCCACCAGATCTGTTATTTCATCATTCATCCCTCATGAATAAGTCAAACAGCCCAAGCCCCAGCACTGGTGTATTAGAACTCCACTAGGGAAACCGACCATCTACCTTCATTCTCTATCCTATCTTATTGGCACTTTTTATCCAGGTAGGAACCTTTTCTCTAGATTTCTTGAAGCACCATTGGTGAGAGCCCTTTTGAAAGCCTTTTGGAAATCCACATGGACTGCTGTTCACACGCTTGTTGACTCCTTCAAAGAAGGACTGCGATGCACAGCATCCCTTTATAAAAGCCACGATGACTCTTCCTCAGTAATGAAATGTGACTGCATGCCAATTGATTTTTCCTTTTTATAGCTTCTACTAATTTGTTCAGCACAGACATCAAGCTCCCTGGTCTGAAATTCCCCAAGAGCCTTTTCTCAAATTGTGTCTGCTAGTGAGCCTTTAAAAGCAGTTTTAAGCAAATGTTTCGACACCACAGCTACTCAGGTCTTTCACCCTTCGGTAATTTTCGGACCTCTGGGGTAGGAGCTGTGTGGTTTCAGACACTGCTTAGTTTAGTTCATGTTGGTTCTCCATAACCGTTACTACCACCGTTTTGATCAGAGACAGTCCTTTGATGAATGTCCCTGTAAAGAGAGTTTCTGCCATGGAAATCTCCCAGCCTTTCGTGCCATGAACACCAGCACAAGAAATTTGTTTTGTTTTTTTTTTACCCACCGTCACCTTTTCTTTTTTTTCTGAGTGGTCATTCCTTACATATTAGCCCTTCAGCCTTCAAGACACCAAACGGCAGAGTTCTAAGGTGGCAGCAAAGATCACTGAGAGTGGAAAATAGATTGGGGTTTTTTTGAGGGGATTTTTTTTGTGGGGGTGGAACCACAGAAATAAGAATCTGCTAACGGTGGTGTTACTGAAGCTAAGCTGATAGTCTCCGGTTTGGCCTAACAGATACTATAATCAAGATCTCAGAGACCTGAAGTGAGATGCGTACATGCATGGTCTTTGGGAGCTGTGGGAACAACAATGAGCACATGCTGCAGGGGAGGAAGAGCTGCAGAAACTAAGAGGAAGGAGAAACATCAGAGAGGGAGGAAGAAATGCTAGTATTGGTGTGAAATGGGGGCAACGCCAACTGCCATTGCTGTGTGAGGGGAGAGGAGAACGTGGCGTTGGAGAACGGGCAGACAACCCCAAAAATACAATTGAAAAGAACACACCGTCCTCCCCTGCCACACACCGCTTCCTGTGACTACCCCACTCGTATGACAGCCATGTGCCTCCCCCAAGAGTCCTGGCTGCTGTGGGGTGCTGGACTGAGACGAGCCAGAGGTTGGGCCCAGGGTGGGCACCTCTCACCAAAGGCAGCAAACCAGCTTCTAGGAAAGGAGTTCCCACAGGACATGCAAAACCCATGGGGATTTGGAGGTTTTGGGGTCTTTTTGGCAGGTGGGAAACCTTAGCTGTGCTTGCCTACAGGGGGTGGAACAGGCAAGCGTGCCCTGAGATGAGATGTGTGCCTGGCATCTCGCTGCCTGGTCCTGGGCATCTTCTCTCCTGACGCTATCTCACCCATAGCCACTGCCTTCCTAGCACGGGACATGGGTTTACGCATCGGGCTGAGAAATGAGGTGAAAAAAGACAGAGAGGAAAATCTTGCCAGGCGTGCTGCAGGGTCAGTGTTCCCAAGCGTGGGGTGTCATCTAAGCCCTGGGGCGCTTTGGGGCTGCCCTGGGGATGCAGGCAGAGAACGCAGCCTTGGGGTGCAGAGCAGCGCAGCTGAAAATGCGACACTGCACAAGCTTACTTAGTAAATCTGGAACCAAGAGGAAGTCACAAAGAGTGCACCAAACCTCAAAAAACCCACCCAACTTTGCTTTAGAAATTGGAGGTATATTTTTTTTCATAAATGTGGATGCTTTTTTGCCTTAAGCCCCACTTTTCACCTTTCTTCTAACCAAGAAGTTAGATTGTTGTGATAACTAGAACGGCGAAGACGTTCAAGACTTAGGATTACTTGTTTTTAATGAGATACGTGACATCAAAGCTGAGATCTCTGTATTTAACTCACAAAGTCTGATCACACCACTACTGCCTACTCCCTAGATGTGTCACACACCCCCCTTACTTATCCCGAGGGCACTGTGGAAGATGACTTCCACTGTGGGCACTGTGGCAAGTAAGCTCTACAGGCTGCCCATAGTTTCGGTACCACAGGGTCCCCAAAGAAAGCCCCCGATTTGAGTAAGTACTGAGATTTGCCTTGCACCTCTAGGTTCACCAGGTGGCTGAAGAGGAGTATAGAGGGTTCCCCAGTGCCCTGTGGTCGGATCTGGTGGAAAACACACAGCAGCTGGCAGGGATGAATGTCCAGTGTGCCCAGACCATCCAGCTCTCCAGATGTTTCTGTCTCACTTACCTTTCTGCTGGTGAAGACCCAAGGGTGCAGGCAGGTTTGCTGGCTCGCGATCACTGTCACTGCAGAGGTCTCGGTCCAGGCTCCAAAACTTGAATCAAAACAGAGACAGTCGGGCTCTTGGGCTCTTTGCTCATCCAAATCACAGCCGTCTCCTACAACACCATGGCTGGCTCTACGTCTCTCATGCTGCAGTTCATCTCCCCTCCTTTCTCACTTCCTGACACGCTTCTGGCTGGCCACAAACCATGAACTTTGCTATCCAAAGCTGATAAGCTAGAACACATCTCATGAAAGCAAACGTAATCGTGAAAGAAGCAACACCCAGGTGTCTTTGCAACCGAGGAGACTTGCCCTGGGTCATAGTGCCAAATACTTGCTCGTCTTTCCTCCCATGCTAACTCAGCTACCCCCAGGACTGACAGAGAAAAGTTAAAACATCCCCCTCCCCAAAATATTGCCAAACAAGAGGTAGAAGTGAAATACGGGAAGTGAGAGCAAAGTTGATTTAATCACTAGCCAGTGCAGAGGCTCGGAGTCCTGTCAGTCCCCATGGGTGTGAGCACTTTGGGGACAAGCTCCTGCCTGGGGCCCCAGCTGTGCACTGCTGGCATGTGTCAGGGACCCAAAAAGAACTGAGCTCTGAAGAGGTGTTGGTGCCAAGGCATGTTTCCTGCTCTAGAGGAGGTGTCCCTGCCCATAGCAGGGGGGTTGGAACTCGATGATCTTTAAGGTCCCTTCCAACTCTAACCATTCTATGATTCCATGTTTGCCACAGACATCAGTCCCTGTTCTAGCCCACAGGAGGCACGGCGCTGAAAAAGTACCAGGGCTGATTTAGCAGGAGATCTGCGACCACCAAGTGAAGCCTGGAAGGGATCTGCCCATCCGGCACTCTGTCACACTTCAAGTCCTCTTTCTGCTTTGCCCAGTCCCACCACATCTGGAAGAAGACACGGGTCATGGAGACACTCCCAACCCTACGGCCGTCCTCCCCCAGGAGCGGTTGCCCCAAGAAGAAGGTGCCGTGCCTGTGGGCTCCCTCTTTCTCCGCAGCCCCTGCCTGGCTCCTCCGCCTGCTGGCTGTGGCTGCTGGTGTTTGACTTTCTCACCGCCTGCCTCCCTTGTTCTGCCCTGGCTGCCTCCTCATTCAGAGAGTGACACGCCGAGGGATAGATGTTCCTGCTGCTCGTAAATCCATGGAGGGGACAATAGCACCCGAAACCACTGATCTCACCCTGCTCCCTTTTAGTGCCTCTCTTTTTTAACCAGAGGCCCTGGTTAACCAGACACCCCCCCCCTTTCTCACTTCCTAGTTGCTGGGATCTTTGTTCTCACAGCTTTTTTTGTGTCTCTTCAGTTCCTTTCAGGGCTCTGGTACCAACAAAGCCTTGCAGATATACTGGGGTGGGGGGGGATGGTGGTGGGAGTGTTTCTTCTCCCTTCGCAAAAGGCATCTCTGACACCTTCTGAGGGGGACTTTCTCCTCCCCTGCAGCCCTCACCCCCCCACCATATGCACATACCTGGCTGAGCCTGGCAATCCTGGCTTTACCACGTGTGTCAGAAGAGGAGGACACGGTGGCACTTTCAGCCCAGCCCGCCCTGCCCCACAGCATCCCTCACCCATCCAGGTTCACTCACCTCACTGGCTCTTGGCACATCAGCCCCTGCCGAACCACTGCGTCCCCCCTTCTTCTCCAGGGTGGGCTCCCACCTTCGCCCCTCTCTCTGTCCCGTGGAGGCTGGGTGGTGGGGAAGAGCAAAGCCAACCCCCCCGTTGGCGTTTCCTCACCCCGGTCTGAGTCGGCAGCAGGTAAGACCAGATCACTGGGGTGTGTTTTTGGAGGCTACACCCCGGCGCTGCAGATCCCAACACGCCTGGCACTCCGGAGCGCCGGCTCCAGAGAGCAGGAGCAAGGACCCAACAGGGTGAGGGGCACCCGCGGCTGGGAAGGCAAGGAGAGAGGATGGGAAGGTTGACCGATAAAACCCTCTTCAGACCTCTTTGTGTGGGGAAACGTGGAAGAGCACAGAAGGTTGGTTAACCCGCGTGTGGGTTAACCATGGTGGAAGAACCAAAGCAGCCGTGTTTCACTTTCTGAATGATTCAGGCAGGAAAAGCAGAAACCTCCAGGACACATGAGGAATTTAATCTTCCAGGGTGGTTGGTGGGGCGGTTCTAGGCCTGCAGGGGGGGAACAGCAGGCTTTTCTCCCAGGGCTTTTCAGCTCCCCAGTCACACAACTCACATCTCCCTGGCCTCCCAGGGCCCGTAGGATGGGGTTACCCACTGAGAAGAGGGGCAGCCACCCCATTATGCCTGCTTAAGGAGAAGGGCAAAGACTCTTACCACGGGAAGAAGATGAGGGGGGTGAAGGGAGACATGCCAGGGAAAGAGTTAAGAGAGGCAGGGAGCAGCTGGGCTGTCTCTGTTTGCTGTAGCTATGTGGGCTGCAGGGTAGAGAAGAAGAATCTCCAGCCTGGAGGAGGCAGACGAAGGAGGGTCCTCAAGGACGGCGGCTGGGGATGAGGGAGACAGCAGGTCTTCCTCTCTCTGCTCCCATGAGCTGTCACTGCAGGGAAGCTCTCTGGCTCCCCAAAGGGCTTTGGTGACAAAGCGATGACAAGCTGGTGGGTCTAGCAACAGCTGCTTGGTGCTGCCAGATTTTTCCTTGCGTGGAAAGCTCTCTGCTTCTGACTGGGTCTCGGGCTGCTTCCTGCTGATGAAGCGACTTGGCTGTGGAGGAAGACAACCAGATTGTCTGCTGATGGGACGGCAGAGGCTGGGGGTCTGACGCTGATGCTGTCCCCAGCCACCTGAGCTCCTTCCGACGGATGCCCACCCCAGAGCCCTAGTTCAGAGCTCTCCCACCATGCTGCCTGGGCGGTAGGTAGGGAAGAGCACCAACGTGGATGCCCTCATAGGGGCAAACCAGCAGGTTTCTGTGGGGCACCTAGTGGCCCACAGATGCTGGCAGGCACACCAGGGCAGCCCATGGTCATTGCCCAGGGCAGGGGCTACCTGTGCTTTGCAGTGCTGGGCTGGAGCTGCTGTGAGAGCGACCATCGGGCAGAGGCTGTGGGAGGACGCAGGAGGGGATTCAGGTGGCTGCTGCACCGTGGCTGAAGGTGGAGTTTTGCCGGGGACAGGATGGAGATGATGTGGCTGTACGTGGTGCTGGTGCCCGTGCAGCACGTGCTTGCCGTGACCTGGCTGTAAGTATGCTTTGCTTTTGTACTATCTGGGTGGGAAACTCGTCCGAGGAGGTGCCGTCTCCCAAGAAAACAAGCAGATGGCAAGGTGGCCATCCAAGAAAAGGGTGGAAGAAGGAACCTGGGTAACCCAGAGGCAGCATGTTAGGAAGGGCATCTCTGGGAGCATAAAGGGAGAGGGATGATGAAGCTCAGAGGCACAGACCAGGATGGAGAACAGGCCAGCTTCCTGGGCTGCACCAAGAGAAGTGTGGCCAGCAGGTCACAGGAGGTGATTCTGCCCCTCTACTCTGTGCTCGTGAGACCCCACTTGGAGCACTGTGTCCAGCTTTGGAGTCCTTAGCACAGGAAGGACATGGACCTGTTGGAATGGGTCCAGAGGAGGGCCACCAAGATGATCAGAGGTCTGGAGCACCTCTCCTGTGAGGACAGGCTGAGACAGCTGGGGTTGTTCAGCCTGGAGAAGAGAAGGGTCCGGGGAGATCATAGCAGCCTTCCAGTATCTGAAGGGAGCTCCAGGAGAGCTGGGGAGGGACTCTTTGTCAGGAAGTGCAGTGATAGGACAAGGGGTAATAATTTTAAATAGGAAGAGGGGAGATTTAGATGAGATATTAGGCAGAAATTTTTTACAGTGAGGGTTGCCCAGGGAAGCTGTGGCTGCCCCATCCCTGGAGGTGTTCAAGGCCAGGCTGGATGGGGCTTTGGGCAACCTGGTCTGGTGGGAGGTATCCCTGCCCATGGCAGGGGGGTTGGAACTCGATGATCTCTAAGGTCCCTTCCAACTCTAACCATTCTATGACTCTATGAATGTCCAAACTGGCATAGACAAGAGGTGGCACATCATCTTCCATGCCCTGTTTCTGCTCTAACATAAGGCCATAGGGGGCTAGCCCCACACAGACACAGCCCTGACTCTAGCCCACATGTGACTGAATGTCTCCCCTGCCCCACAGGTACCTGGCCAAGCAGCCTTCTCTGCGGGCAGTCCTCCAGGACCCCAGGGGCTGTGAAGGTCTGACGGGGCTGGTAGAGGAGCAGGTCCGTGTGTGCCGGCGGCAGGTGGAAGCCATGGATGCGGTGAAGCGAGGCGCGGAGCTGGCTGTGGAGGAGTGCCAGCACCAGTTCCACTCTCGCCGGTGGAACTGCTCCACCCTGCAGGGGCTGCAGGTCTTCGGCAAGGTGGCCATCCAAGGTCAGCAAGGGGGAGGCGAGGCAGGGCAGAGGCGGCATGTGGTCCCTTCGGTGTGCTGGTGGCGTCCCTCGATACATCAGCCTTTCCTGGGCTAGAGTGCACGTGTCACACTGGGATGAGCACCGCGGTGGCCAGGGCCTTCCTCCACTTGCTCACAGAGCTGTCAACACAGAGCAAACTGAACCGAATGCATGTGCTGTTACAAATATTAATATTCTGGCTAAAATTCTTCCTCATTCGGCCAGGCTTGCCATCTGGGTACCAGCTCTGCAGACTGATAGATCTTCTCCCCAACCCTGCCAATCAGCCCTTGGAGTACCAGCTCAAATCAAGCCTTTTTCTCTGAGTCTGAAGTCCCTTTTTGTTATAGGCCGGGGAAAAAGGACTTCCCTGTGCCCTCAAAACACCACGGAAGAGATTTTGCATGTGTTTGCATGGAGGGAGCTATACAGTGAGCTATGAACCCAGTTTCTCTGGCTCCTAGACACAAGGCTTCAGGGTCCTCCCTGACAAACCTCTCTGTGTGGGAGGCTCAGCCCCTGACATCTCCCACCGCAGCTCCTGTTTCAAGGACTGGAGCATCTCCCTTATGAGGAGAGGCTAAAATAGCTGGGACTCTTTAGTCTGGAGAAAAGGCTGAGGGGAGACCTTATCAATGCCTATAAGTACCTAAAGGGTGGGTTGAAGGAGGAGGGAGCCAGACTCTTTTCAGTGGTTGCCAGTGAGAGGACAAGGGGCAATGGGCACAAGTTGGAACATAAAGGGTTCCACTTGAATATGAGGAAGAACTTTTTCACGGTGAGGGTGACAGAGCCCTGGAACAGGCTGCCCAGGGAGGTCGCGGAGTCTCCTTCTTTGGAGATTTTCAAGACCCACCTGGATGCAGTCCTGAGTAACATGCTCTGACAAGCTCTGGGTGGTCCTGCTTTAGCAGGGGAGTTGGACTAGATGATCTCTATGGTCCCTTCCAACTCTAAAAATTCAGTGAAATTCAGTGAAATCCCTTGGGGGCTGCTGAGTTTTCTTTTGCAATGGGACACCTGGGCCTGGAAAAGGGGTGCCAAAGGCGAGGGGCGCTGAGCCAGAAGCACCCTGCAGAGCCATCTCCTTTGCTGGCCCCAGGCTTTGGGAACTGCAGCCTCCCAAGGGAGGTTTCTCCTGGGCAGTCTCCGCCTGAATACATCCTTCCTGCGTGGGGTCACAGCCTCTTTTCCCCCTGCTGTGTCCCATTGGTGCCGTTTCTCTCCCCGCTGCAGGCACGCGGGAGTCTGCGTTCATCCATGCTGTCTCTGCCGCCGGCGTCGCCTTCGCTGTGACTCGTGCCTGCAGCCGCGGGGAGCTGGACAAGTGTGGCTGCGACCGCAAGGTCCGAGGAGCCAGCCCCGAAGGTGAAGGAAGGAGGGCCGGCGGCAGGGAGGGGGTGGCAGAGGAGAAGATCCATGGAGGAGACCCTCAGCGTGGGGAGGAGGCATCTCCCTTCTCCACAGCCCTCTGGGAGCTCCTCCCAAGGCTTCTCCTTCTTCATCTCATCATCGCTTTGCAGGTTTCCAGTGGTCAGGCTGCTCTGATAACTTGTCTTACGGGATTGCCTTTTCTCAAGCCTTCGTAGACAACCCTGAGAGGAACCGTGGCATCTCCTCCGGCCGAGTGCTCATGAACCTGCACAACAACGAGGCTGGGAGGAAGGTAAGGGCAGGAACAAGGGCTGGAAGCAAGCCCGGCTTTGGGGGCTTCTCCCTGGCTAGGTGGAACTCGGTCCAGCCTCCTTACCCAGAGGAGCAGTTCAGGGCAGCCATGAGCTCCTGGAGGGTCTCTGCACCCTGCTGCCTTTCCTCAGCCCGGCACTGCTGCTGAGCTGGCTCCTTGCCTGTGCAGAGGGGGGGTCTCGGCCTCCCCTCCCCGCCTCTGCGCAGAGCCCTTTTTCTCACGGAGCCCAGCTGTGATTTACAGTCCTTGGCCTTTTCTGCAAAGGAAATTACTTTCTCCGTTCTGCTCTGAAAGGCTTCCCTGCTCCTCCAGCCCCTCCTGAGCAAAGACACCATCTTCTGCAGGGGTTGCTGTCAGATCTGGTCCCTTGAACAGGTCCGTTCCCTCCCCCACAGCCTCACGGATCAGAGCAGGTCCATCCCTTTCCTTTAGGGATTCCTCTTATGGACCCAAGCCATCCCATTTCCCACAGAGTGGATCCCCTTCTCTTTCGTATTGGCCTGGCTTAAAAAGACTGTTTTGCTCCCTCTCCCTCTGATGTGCACCCCAGCCCATAGGTGTGTTGCAGTTTGTCCCCTCCCTTTCCCTTTCCCTTTCCCTTTCCCTTTCCCTTTCCCTTTCCCTTTCCCTTTCCCTTTCCCTCTCCCTCTCCCTCTCCCTTTCCCTTTCTCTCTCCCACTCTCCTTCCCTTTTCCTTCCCTCCCTTTGGCTATTCAAGCCCTCCAGCCCCACGGGGGGGATGTGGGGGAACGGTGGCTGCTGGGGGGTGCCTATAGGCATGGGATGCGTAGGGCCGGGGGTCCCAAGTCTGTCTTGCAGCTGCCTCCCGCTTCCCAGGCTCTCCTGGCCCACATGAAGGTGGAGTGCAAGTGCCATGGTGTGTCGGGCTCCTGCGAGGTGCGCACGTGCTGGAAGGTCATGCCTCCCTTCCGCAAGGTGGGCGACGTCCTCAAGGAAAAGTTCGAGGGGGCGACGGAGGTGCACCCCAAACGGGTTGGCTCCCGCAAGCTCCTGGTGCCCAAGAGCTCTCGCTTCAAGCCCTACACGGCTCACGACCTGGTCTACCTGTTGGCCAGCCCAGACTTCTGCGACCGGGACCCCCGGCGTGGGGTATTTGGCACCTCCGGCCGCCGGTGCAACCGGACATCCCCGGCCATGGACGGCTGCGAGCTCCTGTGCTGCGGCAGGGGCTTCCACACGGCCCAGGAGGAGGTGGTGGAACGATGCAGCTGCAAGTTTCGCTGGTGCTGCTCCGTCAAGTGCAAGCAGTGCCGGCACCTGGTAGAGGTCCACAGCTGCCGCTGAGGGGGGAGCCAGCTGGGGCGGTGGGGGGGCAAGGTAGCCAGATGGGGGAGGAGGACAACCTTGGGAGAGCCATGGGAAGGAAGGGAAGGTGGTGGGGAGACACCCGGCCTGAGAAGGAGCGGAGGGGATGTAGGGTTTTGCTGCCCTGCTGAAGAGCTGCCCCTTGCTCCTGGGGTGTCATCAGCTCCCCACACAGCACCCTCTCGCCAGCCTCCTTGGGCTTGTGGTGGTTGGAATGGAAGGTCGGAGGTCTGATAGGTCCTCCACAGGTCCAATAAACCCTTAAACTTTAGAAATAAAGCAGGTGCAATGGAAAGCAAAGTGCGCACGTCAGCTCCTTCCTCACACGCTGCATGTGGGACTTGGGGGGTACCTGGCTCTGCTCCCTCCTGTAGGCTGGGAGGGGACAAGACCATGGGGGGGTCCTTGCACTCAGGGGACATGTGGGCTGCAACAAGTGAGGAAACACCGGGAGGGAGTGGGGACCCACCTCGAACATGAGAGGGGTCACTGAGGGGTGCAATAGAGTGGAGGCATCAGAGAAAACCAGGCAAATTAGGTCTGTAGGTCAAAGAGGCTCTTTTTGAAATAAGACCCATCCTTGGGAGAGACTGGTATAGTCCTTCAGGGGCAGAGAGGCAAGAGATGGCTGGGGCTGGGGATTTCAGACAAGGACGCTTTGGCCAGTGGTTCTAAATCCATGTTCCCAGGGCTGATTCCTTCTCTGATGTGATGCTCAGCTGCTCCTTCGGCTGGAGAAAATGTTTCAGGGGGAGTTCCAGCAGGTGCCACAGTGAAACGCTGTTGAGTGAAGCTGCCCTCCTTGGTGTCCCGCTGCTGATGGTGCATCACAGTCGCTCAGAGGGGGAGATGTGGCCATCATGAGCTAGCTGGCCAGCAAGGGGTCTTGGAAGAGCTGTCCAAGTCTATCCAGTCTCTCTGCCCCACCGCAGCCCCAGAGAGCCTGCTCCAGAGCCCTGTATACCCCCGCTACCATGCGTCAGCCACTGGTGAAGCTGAGGAACCTCTCGTGCCACAGCTGTACCTCCTCCTCTCCCTCCTTCTCACTCAGCTCCCGGTACGTCTCATTTCTGTGGCAGGCGCAGCGAGACACCTGCAAGGACAGCCCGAGTTCATAGGACTGATACCACTGCCCATCATCCCCCCAGGGAAGAGGACCCCCATGATGGATGGCACCTGGAGGCTGGGATGATGGGGACACTGCTGGAGAGGGTACAGCAAAGGGCTACAAAGATGATGAGGGGCCTGGAGCATTTCTCTTATGAGGAGAGGCTGAGGGACTTGGGTCTTTTTAGTCTAGAGAAGAAAAGTCTGAGGGGGGGGATCTGATCAATGCTTATAAATACTTAAAGGGTGAGTGTCAAGAGAATGGGACCAGTCTTTTTTCAGTGGTGCCCAGGGATAGGACAAGAGGAAATGGGCACAAACTTGAATATAAGAAGTTCCACCTAAACATGAAGAGGAACTTCTTTACTTTGAGGGTGGCAGAGCCCTGGAACAGGCTGCCCAGGGAGGTGGTGGAGTCTCCTTCTCTGGAGATATTCAAAACCTGCCTGGACAAGTTCCTGTGCAACGTGCTCTGGGTGGACCTGCTTTGGCAGGGGGGTTGGACTAGATGATCTCCAGAGGTCCCTTCCAACCCCATGTGATTCTGTGATACCAGGGGGAAGAGGGTAGAACCAGCTGGGAAGTGGGAGAGGATAATAGCTGAACTGTGTGTTTCCTAAAATACAGGGCTAGTCCTCTGTCCTGCTCTGGTGTTTCTGGTTTTTGCTACCACCTAGGCAGCACCCAGTAGATGGTGGAGACCCTCCCCTGCAGGGATATACAGGTCTACCCAGATAGGTAGGAACCTCCCCTTGCCTCCTCTGTCTCAACATAAGTGCCTGTCTCTGGTGCCATCTCTTACAGCTTCTGTGCAAATCCCACCACCTCAATTACCTGCAGTGGGTCACTATTTGTCGCCCCACACCCCCCTCCAAACACACCCAAGTGTGTCCTACTGGAGGGACAAGCAGTGGGCTAGTGAGACCTGCCAGGACTCAGGTCTGGTTGTGGAGGGACCAGCCAGGGAGGAGAAGGCTGTGTAAAGGGCAGTGCAGGCTGCTTCTTACCTTCTGGTTGTAGACGGTCTGCTGCAAACATTGATGGCTCTTGAAGGCACAGTAGCTGGGGTGCTGAACTCCACCCGTGTCGCAGATCTGGGGAGATGGGAATTGAAGGCCAGAGAAAGACAAGGAGGACAGATGGGAACACCTACTGGGCACCCACCTGGCTCGGAGCATCTCCATCTTGGAAGGCGGTGTACTCTGCCTTCAGCCAGAGGGCCACACGAGGGTCGTCACAGCCACGGATGGCTAACTGGCTGCACCAGTACTCCATCCTCAGCCCCCTGAAAATTTCCGTGACGTAGTACTCTGAGGTTTCTGGAGAGCTGGTCTGGAAAAGGGTGAGATAAGGAGAGCCTTGCTTCTTCCTCCCCTTCCCCACCACCCAGTCCAAGGCTCCTCCCCAGAGGCTGGCCGGAGATGCAGCACGCTGGCTCAGTACCTTGTTGCCTGCAGCCTGGTACTGGGCTGAGATCTGAGGGTTGATGTATGTCTTGAAGCCGCCGGTCTTGCAGTGAACACGTTTCAGGCTTTTGATGTGCTGGCACTGCTCCCTCTTCAGCGAGCAGAAAGCGCAGTTGGGGCACAGGTCCATGTGATGCCTCCCCAGGCTGTCACACACCTAGGGTGGATGCAGTGGGGTGGTCAGGACAGGGGAAAAGGAAACTGAGGAGCTCCCGTATCCCTGGCTTGGAACTTGCCCACCCTGGTCACCCAGGTCAGCTTCTCCCAGGAGGTGGCACCTTGAAAGGACAGTGCTGATGAGCTCTGGCTGCCAGAGCATTGCGGTCAGCACCACAGGGAACCCTGCACACAGTGAGGGTCAAAGGTGGACATCAGCGTCTTTACCAAATCTCCGAACCCAAGGACTCTTTCTTCTATCTCCTTCCAGGCCTGGGTGACCACCGAGGAGAGGCAGTTTCCCTCCAGCATTGTGTAGCACAGGATAATCGTTGTCTCCTCGTTCCTCAGGGCTAGAAGGCTGGCAGAGAAAGGGATGGAGAAAGTCAAGTCTTGTCTTTTGTCACAAATCGAAGAGACAGAACTTCAGTTCAAAACTGAAAGGGGGGAAAGCAACCCCAAAGCATAGCAAAAGACCTTCCCCAAAGAAACCTGGGGCTCTCGGCCAAACTGTATGGAGAATTCTGTCTGCAGAATCTGGACGTGGCTGTGTAACAAGGAGGCTATGGGTGGTGTGTGAGTGTGTGCATTCAGGAGCACGTGAGGAGGACTGGATGAGGAGCACAGCCCGAGGAACTTTCATAGGGGTTCTGCAGCAGCTGCTGCCTAGTTTTGTCCATCCAAGCGCACAGCAAGGAGGTATTTGTCAGGGCTCTCCTGAGTCTTGACCATGGGGCAGCCCCATTTGAGTCTGGAGTGTGTAACTCATAACTCCCTCCTGCTTGAGCCAATGTATTTGACGGAAAGGGGAAAAAAATTGGTAACAATGAATTAACTGTTCATCCAAACCGACACGGGAAACTAAAAATAGAAAATTTAAGGACAGTGGGACAAGGACAATAAAAATATTTTACATCTCTTAGGAACAGAAGAAATTGTGCACATGGTACAGAATTGTTATTAGGCAGGGACGGTATGAATTATCAGCAGTGATGCAGAAGAGGTAAAAATGCTCATTTAGTATTTGTTGTCTGTGTATGGAAACAAAACCAATGATAAATAAACCTTGATCTGTCGGAAAGTACGAAAAATTAAGAGCAGTAATTGCTTATGTTAAAATTTTCTTAAAATCCATGCATGGGCTAACCTGTATGGAGAAGGTTTCCTAAGAATAGCGGAAACTCCTTGGAGACCTTCACATTAGTCTTAAAAAAAAAAATAAAATAAAATAAAAGAGGTGGAGAACCTGAGAAAGGTCATGAAGATGAGATTTCCTAAGGCCTGGAAAACTTCCATGAGGAGAAAGAAACTGAAGAACCTGTAATTAACAGAGCAAAGACACTAGTGGGTGGCCACTCAGTCAGTCTGTAACTTTTACCAAGACAGGGATCAGCTGGAAGGCCCTCTTCATCAGCAGATGGAAGAGTAATGAATTTTGGTGACTGGAGTTTGAGGTGACATCCATTCAAACCAGAATAGCTGCATGTTCCTGACACGAAGGGTATTTAGCACAGGGTATTTAGCTGCTGGGCTGGTTTCTCCACAGCTTGGAGACCTCAAAGAGACATCCTGAACTTCTTGTAGGAGAAGGGTCTGTAGCTCAGCCACATGATACTGTTTTTCCTTCAGGGCTTACTAGACATGGCTCTACGTCCTGTGCTGAGCAGGAAGGTCAGGGTGAGTGACTAGAGTGATTGCCAGGCCTGAAGGCTAAAGGAGATCAATCTCTCTGCCATTAAGCTCTTGGGATTGTGTGGTATGTGAAGAAATCAAGCTGTAAGGAGTGACTGGTGTTCACAGATCCATGGACATATGAGAAACATACAACGTATGCAGAGGAACATGTGGATGCTTGGCATTTGCACTGGGTTTGGGTATGCACTCACATAGGAGAACACGTGTGGGCACTAGGGCTAGTAACAGGAAGAAGTTTTGTGCACCTCTTTAATAGATCCCTGGGCCTTGGCACACACTGTGGATGAAGAAGACTGCAGCAGGTTCTCTGCACTTGCAGTAGGTCAGAAACAAGTGATCCTGCACCCAAATGGTTCGCGCTAACCAGCAGCAAATGAGCACGTCAGGATTTCTGAAGGTGTGTCTCTCACTTAGATACTACAAGAGAACGTTGTAGTCCTGAGAACCTGATAGGACAAGAGGTAATGGCTTCAAACTGGAAGAGGGTAGGTTTAGATTAGACACCAGGAAGAAATTTTTCACTATAAGGATGGTGAGACATTGGGATATGTTGTCCAGGGAAGCTGTGGAGGCTCCGTCCCTGGAATTGCTCAAGGCCATGTTGGACGGGGCTTTGAGCAACTTGGTCTAGTGGGAGGTGTCCCTGCCCCTGGAAGGGGGCTTGGAACTAGATGATCTTTAAGGTCGCTTCCAACCCAAACCATTTTACGATTCTAACCTGAAAAATCTTAGTGACAGGAAATATAATGAGCGCTAGATATTTTTTTAAGGACATTACAGTCAAACTTGTTTTATCACCATGCAGCAGATGCTGCTCTAGCCTGCATCGAGGCAAGCAAAGACGTTCCCTCAAAACAACGTCCTGTACTGCGCCGGGGACAAGGCTGCAAATGCTATTCTGTGGATACAGACATGTGAACAAGTTACTGTGGTGCCAACCCACAGCACATCAACCACATCCACTGAAAAACCAAGGTCAGCTGAAAACCTGGAAATCCACTTATTGCAAACCTGCACATCTCTTTCTGAGATGCACCACAGTGTGACCAATCTGGTCAGAGGTTTGTGGAGGGAGGATCCGAGTTCAGAGAGGAAAAAAGAATGCAAACTGAGGACAGCAGTGACAGATGCTGACTCTTTCAGGCAAAGCTGGAAAGAATTAAAATGTGCCAGTAAAAAAGAGAAAGAAAGCCCACCTATACTGCAGAGACCACTTCCAGAACCTGTAAGACCCTTTATATCCATCCACGCCTCCATCCCGTGGCTCCACATGATCCTTTTTATTTTCTTTTTTCTTCTTTTTTTTTTTTCTCCCTCTTCAGACCATTTAGGATACCAAGAAGAACAAGAAATTCTAAATTTGGAGCAAAAAATCTGTGCTCATCCCACTTGAAAACCTTGTCTAAGGTTGTTCAATTCAACCCTCTCAACGCATTTCTGTGACCGGGAGCTGGACATTGCTGAGAGAAGAATCAGTGACAGCCCCCCAGAGACACACCTAGCATTTCTCTTCTGTACAGGATTGCCCTTTGTGTGGGGATTACCTAACACCCTGACAATTTCTCTCTTAAGCAGTCGTAGCCCAGGAGAACAAGCTTTCGGTCCACTTTGTTGATAAATCTGTGACAGCCAAAGGGAGTCCCCCCCACCACTCAGATGCTTGACTGCTTAAGCACAGGTGGATCTTCACCTTCCAGATTTGGCACGCTGGCTGGGTCATCTTGATGGGACTCACACATTTCCATTAATGACCCTGGTATTATTCTCCAAACTTATTTGAAAGAATTTATCCACAAATATGTCATTATTGGCTATTGTTCCACTACTTGCTTCTTATTCCAGTGGCATATTGTGATTTGTTTTCTTCTTTGTCACACCTGGGTGTTCAAGCCAGTAAAGTGAGAGGCACATTAACAGTCGTTAAAAATGTTATGAATAGCTCTGGTTTCATCACCGAGGTAGAAAAAAGGAAGAAAGCTGTCCAGCCCACTATACCTCTTTAAAAATAGCAAATAGGTAACAATGTGAAGCTCAGAAAGCAGCTGCCAATAAATGGGTTTAAACAGCCTTTGCTTTCTCCAACACACGTGCTGGTCCAACAACTGCAGCCCGAACAAGATGCAAGTAGAGGATTACAGGCAAAAGGGGCAGTAAAAGGGAACTTGGCTCCAGTCTTTTCTAAAAAGAGCGCTTCCGTAAGTAGCTCATAAGCAGTGATAAAACATCTGCTGAGTGCCGATGACCTACTTGTTCAGAACAGACGCAAAGTCAGATGTGGATAGGAGCCCACATCTTAGATTTATAGACCATATGTGACACGATTGGCCCACGCCGATCAGAAATCCCCACATCCCCCCCATAACTTCCACTCACCCAACCAGGAAACTGAGTCATGCCTCAATCAACCTGAAATTACCAAGAAATTATGTTGCACCCTCTGTTACATCTATTTCCTCCTCTATCTCTGTTCTCCATCTCTGCCATGAGGTTCGCTGGCCTCATGGTTGCGAACTTATTTTTTTACTATGTTTGCTACCTCTGGGTGAGTTCCTGGAAGCAGCTGAGAAGTGTCCGGGGAATGGGTCCTCCCACCCAGCACCACCAGACCCAGGGATGGGTCCTGGGCTCCTCCTGCACTAGTGGGCACCTGCAACCCACGATGCTGTGGCACTAAGTGAGCCCAAGGGCTGTCCCTGGTTCCTCTTCCAGTGACTCCCAGTGCTCCTGGTGCTGCTGTCTGGCCTCTCCAACCCCTCTCCTGCTGCTGCCCACCTTCATGGCATCTCTGGGGCTTTATGTCCCATCACAGAGCCGCTATGGGCAAATGGAAGAGAGCCAGCAGAGCTCTGCTGTTGGTGCCCCGTGCTCACTGAGACACTGCTGAGCTGTTTGTGGATGTGCAGAAGCCTCCCCATGCGTCAGAGAAACTGATAGGTCTGTCTAAAGAGATTTCTTCACGCAGAGCCCTCCCCAGCTTAGTACTTCTGTGCCTTAATGCCATAACTGCTGCCCTGGAAAAAGCCTAACAGGTACCGGGAGGCAATGTTTCAAAGGGATTGTTAAAAAAATATAATTGGGAAGAGTCTGTGGGCTAAGATCAATAGTTGCTCAAAGGCAAAAAGAGAAAACTTCAGATAAAAGCCTATTTCGCTTTAGCATCTCAAGACGTGGAGTGACACATACAGAGCCTACTTCAGCGGTATCTCTGAAGAGCGGTGGTTAACAACATCCACCTCTCTCTTGTGGTAATGGCAAGGATTTGGGCCATTAACTTTCAGCTGCTGAACCTCCCCGATATTGGCTGGCCGTGAGAGGTGGGGTGGATACCTGAGGCAAGCAGAAAAGAAGATGAGCAAACAACAGCTTTCCAGCGCTTTGTAACTTCTGATTTAGGGGGGGTTGCGGCAGGAAAATAAAACCACTAAGGAAAAAGCCATTCTTAACAGCTTCAGAAAGAAATACAGATCTTGGCCTGCATGCCAAGAAGGCAAGCAGGCTGGCTAGATAGCTGACAGATCAAACCCAGCACGTAACCTGATGCAGGAACCATTGGGAGAACAGAAACGTACCACCTGCCCAAGGGTCAGGGGGCACCAAGCATGGGAAAATTTGTATTTTGTAAACACATCTCTCCTGTTGACCCACACGATATTGCAGCCTTTCACCTGGGACACTGAGAACCCCCTGCTCTGATTTTTCCAAAAGCCTTGAACTTTTTCTGGCCTGGTGGCGAGAAGACAACCTGCCTCGTCACGCCTTCCCTCTCACAGCTGGCCATGCACAGCAGCAATACAAAACCACTAAATTGCTCCCCAGCCTTACTGAATGGCCAAAAGATATCTCTACATCGCTCCCAAGAGACAGCTTGTTCTGCAGAAAGCAGCTGAGAAGTGTCAGGGGGATGGGTCCCATCCTGCACAACCAGACCCAGGGTAAAACAGAAGTAAATGCTAATGGGTGATAGTGATTCAAAGATATTGTTGTTGGTTTGTTTTTTTTTTTTCTGGTGACAGCATTTTAAATGAAGGGTCTGGTCTTAAAATTAAAGCCACTGGGGATGAAGTAGGTAAGCACACCAAGAGCTACTCGGAGGTGTAAAGCAGGAGTAGGATAGTGCAGCCACCAGCAGGACTTGGCTCAACCTTGCTGGGGAAGCTGGGCTCATGCAAACCACGAGCATCCACACGCAAATACCACCAGGACGGCGTCTGTATCCGGGACAGCCGCGATGCTGAAAGAGATGTAGGGGTCGTAGTGGACAAACAACACAAGAGTGGGAAGCCCTGGGAAAAAGACCAAATGCAGTTCTTGTGTGCAAACAGAAGAGCTGAGAAGGGGAGGGAGGTTGACCTCCTTCTGCATGCCCAACTGCTGAAACCCATCGCTGAACAGGGCTGGAGAGTGGATTTTTGAAGGGACACTAAAAATTGCCACAGAAAATGAGTTGTATGGGCTTTATAACGTGAGAGCTATGGAGCTCTGTTCAGCTTACTGCAAGACTGAATCATGGCATATAAGTAACTTGGAGGAGAGGAAAACTGGGAATCATAGAATCATGGAATGGTTAGAGTTAGAAGGGACCTTAGAGATCATCGAGTTCCAACCCCCCTGCCATGGGCAGGGACACCTCCCACCAGACCAGGTTGCTCAAAGCCCCATCCAGCCTGGCCTTGAACACCTCCAGGGATGGGGCAGCCACAGCTTCTCTGGGCAACCTGTTCCAGTGCCTCACCACCCTCACAGGAAACAATTTCTTCCTAATATCTCATCTAAATCTCCCCTCTTCCAACTTAAAACCGTTACCCCTCGGCCTGTCACTGCACTTCCTGACAAAGGGTCCCTCCCCAGCTCTCCTGTAGCTCCCTTCAGATATTGGAAGGCTGCTCTAAGGTCTCCCCGGAGCTTTCTCTTCTCCAGGCTGAACAATCCCAGCTCTCTCAGCCTGTCCTCATAGGAGAGGTGCTCCATCCCTCTGATCAATTTGGATGGCCCTCCTCTGTACCCATTCCAACAGGTTCATGTCCTTCCTGTGTTGAGGACTCCAAAGCTGGACACAGTACTCCAGGTGGGGTGTCACACGCACAGAGTAGAGGGGTAGAATCACCTACCAGTGATAAACAGCTCTTTAATCAAGGGGGCAAAAAGCACAATAAGGACTGAAAATTTACGATAAATGCAATAAGAAACACTATTTTTTTTGGCCTATAATGTCTCACTGCTAGCGGAAAGACCACAAAAGCGTGCTGCCAATTCTCTTCATTATTTTGCTACCATCACCATGTCTCACTCTAAAGGTCACAGCCACCTTCACCAGGCACCATGAAAGCTGGCAGAGCTACCAGTGCAGCGAGATGGGCTGGGTGTCCCACTGGACATAAAACCCTAGGGAAGAAACGCAGCCCTGGCTTCAGTGCCCATCACAACTACGCCCAACTTGTGTTAAACCAGACCCCGAATGTCACCAGTGCACACAGACCAGTCCCACCCAGCACTGCTCCTCTTGTTGGAGTGGAAATGCCTCCAAGCATTTTACCCCTATTTTAGGTCATGCTTTGAAGTCCCTCTGAGAGGAGGCGGGGATGTGGAGAAGCAGCAAAGCCGACAGGCGCGGTCTATCTCGCCTTTTTATCCTGGCTTGAGTTTAAGCTTTGCTTAGCATGATTGATGGGGCTCGGCTGCCAGGTTACAGACAGACAGTCAGCATTAGTGTCTTGGAGAAACTCTGCAGCAGAATAACGAGTGTCATCTGCAATCACAGCGGCCCCTCAATAATCCCAATATAACTAAATCAGAGCAAGGCTCAACTTCAGAGGCAGGGAAAATGAACATATCCTCAATGAAACATAATTTTGCCTTAGAGTACATAACACCAGAAAAGAAAAAAATATATAAAACTGCCGGGCAGTAAAAGCCTCCTACAATATTAGGAAGGAGGATGACATAAGTTACAGCCTTGCAAGAGAACATTTACAGCTTTAACAACATGATGCAATTCATTTTTACAGGCAGAAATGGGATCTCTGGCTCAAGTGTAGTAGTACGCAGCGTTTTTAATACAAACCACAGATGTGCAATCGTGCACAAAAACTGTGTGCTTACAGGAATATCACTAGCCAGTAACAGAGCGAAACCAAAATGACTTCTCCATGAAAACCACATCTAGGCAACACTTTTTTTTTTCTTTTTTCTTTCCGGTTTTGGCAAGCAAAATAATCTTTGCATCTCAGTCAAAGCGAGTGGTCCTCAGCCACAAGGCACTAAAGGATCAAAAAGTAAAATTGAGTGAAAACATACGATCCTTTTGCAGGTCTTTTCTGTTTGGGCTCACCAGCCCCGGCTGCCTGAGCACGGAGGCGAATGGATCCTGGCAGATGGGCTGAGAAGAGCTCAAGATGCTCGACAAGCTCCTACAGCATCCCTGGGCCAGAGGAACTAAGGCTGGTGTGTAACAGGATTGCAGGGCCCCTGTGCTGAACTTAGCAGGCAGCTGCTTTCAAAGCCAGAATGGGGAACCAGAAACCCCTTAGGAAGAGCAACGCACAGATCCAGAGTGGTGCACGTGCTCGAGGAGAAGTAGAGGTCCTGCACAGCCAGGAGCAAGTCTCTGTGCTCCTGGCTCTGTTTCTTAACCCAGGGCTGCTTTTGCTCTACCTGGGTGAGGATGGAGTGCTACTCGCAGCCTTCCTCAGGTCAGACTGTTTTAAGAAACAACTGCTTCACATTGCACACAAGAGAGGCGAGGAGCACGGAGAAACACCACTGTTACTCCAGCATCCCCAGGATCTAGAACGCAGGATGACTTCTGCAGGTCATCCAGACTGCTGGAGAGGTGAGTTGGGAGGAGGAGGAGTGCAGGGGCAATTGCACGCTGCAGGTAGTCACAGTGGGGGGATACACAGGCAGGGGAGAAAGCCCTGCCTGCAGCTAAGGACCAGCCTAAACACACTTTGCTTGGGATGCAAGTAGGGTAATGGGAGGCTCGAGCAGTGCTGGGTCACAGAATCACAGAATCACAGAATCTTCTAGGTTGGAAAGGATCTTAAAAATCATCTTGTCCAACCGTCAACCTAATTTTGACAAAAATAAACACCCACACAACAAACAAAGAGCAACGCCATCACTAAACCATATCTCTCAGCACTACATCAACCCGTCTTTTGAACACCTCCAGGGATGGTGCCTCAACCACCTCCCTGGGCAGCCCATTCCAATGTCTGATAACCCTTTCAGTGAAAAAATTTTTCCTAATATCCAGCCTGAACCTCCCCTGGCATAACTTGAGGCCATTTCCTCTTGTCCTGTCGCCTGTGACTTGAGAGAAGAGACCGACCCCCACCTCTCTACAGCCTCCTTTCAGGTAGTTATAGAGTGCGATAAGGTCTCCCCTCAGCCTCCTCTTCTCCAGACTGAACAACTCCAGCTCCCTCAGCCTCTCCTCATAAGACTTGTGCTCCAGACCCCTCACCAGCTTTGTTGCCCTTCTCTGGACCCGCTCCAGCACCTCAATGTCTTTTTTATGGTAGGGGGCCCAAAACTGGACACAGTACTCGATGTGGGACCTCACCAGTGCTGAGTACAGGGGGACGATCACCTCCCGAGTCCTACTCGCCACGCTGTTCCTGATACAGGCCAGGATGCTGTTGGCCTTCTTGGCCACCTGGGCACACTGCTGGCTCATGTTCAGCTGACAGTTGACCAACACCCCTAGTCACTCTCTCCCTGCTCCCTCTGTGCTGGAGCCGAGGGTCTCTGAGGGGCTCCCTGGCTACACTCCTGCTCTGTATGGGATGGTTTGTCCCATTGAGCCCGCCTCCACCCATCAGCCGCTCAGGGCAGGGGCATGGATGCCATAGGGCTATCAGCTGGTGTGGTGAGGACAGCCCTGCATGGGTGGCGTACAGTACCCTACCAGGTGGGGAGACAGGTCTCCCCCTCACCTGCCATAGGGGGACGTTTTCTGCACCCCCTCCTCTGTGCTGCTGGACGTGTTCCCTGGCTTTGTCTTGGTGCCATTGCCTGGAGAAGAGCCCTTGGTGCTCAAGGACGTGTCCAAGGAGAGGGCCACGCGGATCAGCTGCCAGACGCTGCTCTGCAGGCGTTGCTCCCAGGATTGTTCTGCCTGGGCAGGGGTTCCCAGGCTGGAAGGTGACGGGGTAGGATGAGCCGTGACCGGCAGGGTGACTGGGGACACAGACATCCCCCTGTGCTGCTGGGCTCTTGGCATCCCTGGCGTGGCTGAGGGGAGCTTCTTTGGAAGCAGTTCCTGGCTTGAGAGTGCGGAGGTGTACTTCAGGAAAGCATCCACGCTGTCGTTCAGCAGGGCAGAGAGAGAGGCCTGCCCTGGAGCTAGGGAGATATTGGGATGGTGGTGCTGAGGGCACCTTTCTGAGGCCAGCCAGAAAGCTGCTGGGTGGCAGGAGCAGCTATGGGAGACCAGCAGGCGAGCAGGGCCTCCCAGTGCAGCGTGGTGGCAGCCATACCTTCATCCTTAGGGAAGCTTTCATCCTTCTTCCAGGAGCCCACAGTGCGGGGTTGCTCTGTCAGGAGGAGGTTTTCTGGAGGAGACAAACTCAGACACGGGATTCGCTGAGTGGAGGAGAGAGGGAGAAACACAAGTCCTGCTGTGCTGCCTTCCCTTCCTCCTCACCCCCTCTCCCTCTCCCAAGAGACATCCCTGCGCCCACCCCGAATCCCACTGTCCCACCTTGGCGTAGAACTGGCGCTTGTAGCAGCGGTACTGGGTGAACCGGCAGAAGGTCTGAAACCAGGGCGCCTCCGGGAAGTCAGAGCAGACCGGCCCTGGAGAGGGGGGAGAGAGAGAGGTGGGATGGGGGCAGACCATGGGTTTAGGGGTCTGTCCCCCTTGGCCTGGGTGCAAGGAGGGCTGGGGACCTCTCCGATGGCTGCTTTCAGAGAGGCTTGTGGTTTGGAGGGAAAATCAAAGCTGTCTGCCCCCAGGTGGAGGTGACAGCCCCGTGATGGTACAGCTCCCCATCCCAGATGTCACGTGCACTTTCCCTCCAAACCACCCCGCGTTTCAGTCCACCATTCTGCCCTTATCCACACCATTATCTGCGCTTGCACCGAGACATGATCCTCCTGTTTCCAGGATCTGGTAAGGACCCTTTTATTAGTTCTTTGAAGGATTCAAAAACAAACAAACAAACAAACATAAAGGGCAAGTAGTGATGTAACAGGTTAAAAAGATGGCCAGACTGGGCCTGGGAACCCCAGAGTAGACAATCTTTTCAGGGCAAAAAAGTTCACCAGTGATTCCAGCCGTACAGGGGAGGGAGGAAAAGTCCACGGGGCCAAGATGCTGCTGGCAAGACCTAGGCCTGTACACACGTGGACCATAATCTTCACCAGTGCAGCCGCCAATACCGGTTCGGAAGATGCAGCCCCTCCTGCAGTGATGGCAGGGTAGCTGAGACCAAGCAGGAGAGCTGAAAACCCTGGGAGATTTGGGGAGGGGGACAATCTTGTGCTCCCTCTGCCTGGTCCGGTGCCTGGCCCGGCTAGAACAGCCATCCCTTTGCACACACCAAAGAGGTCAAGCTCCATCTGAGCCAGAGGAGGTCAGCAGTGGCATTCCAACTGCTCTCCTCTGGGTGGCTTGTACACCATCTTTTACACTGTACGCACTCCTTCTCTTGTGCTGAGCATGCGGATGCACCAGGAAAAGCAGAATTTCAGGTACCCACCAGGATCCCAGCTGAGAAGAATGTCCCACTTGCAGGGAATGCACCAGACTCCCACTTTGTCCTTTGGTGGTGCTCTGTGGAATCCCTCCAGGATGTGGGGGACACGAACTCGACCAGTGCAATGGACGGGCAGCTGCAGCATTTGACTCCACCACCCAGCCACTACTTGCAAAGGGGCATTGCTGCCTTTGGGAAGGGGAGGAAGCCCAAACATTTGCTAACCCCAGCGTTAGCCTGACCCTCCTGGGCCAGGACTGCACCACCAGCAGTGCAGGCTGCAGCACTGTGTCAGCTTGGGTCCTGTCACAAACCATTCCTCCGATGATACAGAAACTTTCCATTTTGGGGTGGGGGGAGGAGAAAAGTACATTTTCATTCCAACATCTGGGAAGTTAAAAAAAAACCCAAAACTTGACACAGATAAAATTTCCCATAGGCTCTCTTTGCTGGTCTCTTGATTTTCAACATGGCTTAGCTCTCTCACAGCCTGCTGAACGCTGATGGCACGGCCTGATGAGCAGCTTGCCTTCTTCAGCACTGATTCCCATCTCCTCTTTCCTCTCAGCTCATCTGCCCTATGGAAATATCTTTCTTTGAGTCCTCTGACCTTCCTGCCAAGGGGAACTCTTCCCGGTACCAGCTGTTTAGTTTAATGAATATGATCTTTTGCCTCTGCCCTCTGCTCCTCCTGCCCATGTGTTTGCTGCAAACAGCTACAGCTCCTGCTGGGTGTCAGGAAGCCACCCCCTTGGGCTCTGTGGCCAACTCCACCTGCAGGAGCTCACAACATGGGGAAGGCAATCAATTAACAACTGAAAGATGAAGCCAGCCAAGATATTTACATACACTCATGAGGAAACATCCTCCTGACTCTCATCTTCCACAACAAAGAGGGTTGAAAGGTTATGTGTAGGCTTCCCTTGTTTAAAACACAAGGTAACTACTTTCTGTAGCACCACACCTGGAAAGGCACAATTAATGCTCATGACTATTTGGATGTGAACAGCACTACCATTTATCTGTGAGGACAGCAAAGACAAAACATGTGAGGACACATGCTCTGCCATGTCCAATTGGCCTCTCAACCTGGCTGCAACACATGCCAAAAGTGGAAGAAAGGGAACATGGAGGAGAATAAAGTCTGCCAGATGGGTCTGTTGGGCTGAGGGATGGAGGAAAAGAAGGCATCCTGCAAAAACTGTCCTATCTCCTGACATTCCCAGGTGCTCCTGCTCTTGGAGGAGCTGAGCCTCCAAAGGCAGCAGCGGTGGGATTGTGGCTGGAAATGCCAAAGAACAGTGCTGGTGTGCTGGGCATCGCTGGGAGAGGAACCAGGGACAGCCCCCAGGTGCACCTAGTGCCACGGCATCCTGGGTTGGTGTCCCCAAGCAAGGGAGAAGCCCAGGACTCATCCCAGGGTCTGGTGATGCAGGGTGGGACCCATTCCCCTGACACAGCTGCAGAAGCAAGCAAGAAATAGTTGCCCTCAAGCTGCAGTCCAAATAAGCACACTTGGCTGATCATTCAGTTCATTGACGTTCATAGCTAAATATAAAGACATATTTTTTTATGAGAAAATTGTTCCTATTTTTTTTCCTCTGGAGGAAAATACAACAGAAGTAGTCCCAAGTTTTTCAGCTGCACAGATATAATTACGCCACTTAAATTCTCTGGTGCAGGGGTGCAGGGAAAGTATGATTGCAGAGATTTAAAGGGTGCTGTTGCTATGGTGCTTTCTGAACTGGGATGTTTCTTGGCTCCTGAAATGTTAAACACTTAAAAAAGCAGCTTATCAGCTCAAGCTTTCTTAAAGGCCCACGAGAGCCCATGAGCCAAGCTTCTGTATTAAACCCTAAATCAAGTGGGAAGGAGGTGGTTATGTTGTAAGACGAACTGTTGGGAAGAAATGATGAGCTTCTATGAGCTTCAGAAAACTGTGGCCAGTTTTTTGTTTTGTTTTGTTTTGTTTTTCCCTGCCACCCCACTAACAGAGATGTGGAGAAACTGGAGAACCCAGTGAAGGGCCACTGAAAAGTTAAGGGCTTTCAACTTCTGACCCCTGAAGAGGGTCTGGGGCGGCCATGCTTGTTCAGCTGGGTGAAGAGGAGATGGGCAGGTGAGTTAACAGCAGCCCACCTGAATGAAAGTGAAAAGATGAGAAAGTCAAACTCTTCCTGGTGGTGCCAGGCAACACAAGAGGAAAAAAAAATACAAATTCCTGCTTGGACTGGTCATCAACATGAGCCAGCAATACTCATTTGCAGCTCAGAAGACCAACTGTATCCTGGGCTACATCAAAAGAAGCATGATCAGCAGGTTGAAGGAGGTGATTCTTTCCCCTCTACTCTGCTCTGGTGAGACCCCACCTAGACTACTATGTCCAGCTTGGGAGTTCCCAGCACAGGAAGGACATGAACCTGTTGGAGTGAGTCCAGAGGAGGGCCACAAAGATGATCAGAGGGCTGGAGCAACTCTCCTGTGAGGACAGGCTGAGAGAGTTGGGGTTGTTCAGTCTGGAGAAGGTTCTGGGGAGACCTTAGAGCAGCCTTCCTGTATCTGAAAAGGGAAAGCTGGAGAGGGGCTATTTACAAGGGCATGTAGTGACAAGACAAGGGGTGATGGCTACAAACTGGAAGAGGGGAGATTTATATTAGATATTAGGAAGAAATTTGTCGCTCTGAAGGTGGTGAGGCACTGGGATATGTTGCCCAGGGAAGCTGTGGATGCCCCATCCCTGGAAGTGTTCAAGGCCAGGCTGGATGGAGCTTTGAGCAACCCGGTCTGGTGGGAGGTGTCCCTGCCCATGGCAGGGGGGTTGGAATTTGATGATCTTTAAGGTCCCTTCCAACCCAACCCATTCTATGATTCCATGATTAGGAGAAGTTATTTTGTCCAGGAAAGCAGTGCAGCACTGGAAGTGGTGCCCAGAGAGGCCACAAAACCAAACTCCCTTGCACAGAGACATGGTGCTCTAGTGCTGACAGCACCCTGCTGCAAGCTGAACTGTGGACTAGAGACCCCAAAACGACCCATCCCACCACCATTCATACCATCCTGTGGCGTTTCGGGCCAGAGAAACATCTGGCACTGCTCCGGCTGGAGCGATGCCCGCCTCTGCCCCTTGGAGGTGGGGTGATGATGCTCCTACCTTCAGGGACAAGGCCGTGGTTCTCCTCCTGGTCCAGCCATAGGATGTCGGGGTTGAGGCAGCCGTGTGCCTGGCGCACCCGGCAGACTGCGTCTGCCTTCCAGGGGGGCTGCAGGTTGGCAAAGAAGAGCTGGTACTCCCTGTTTGACAGGGGGCTGCCCGGAGCGGGAGGCAGCAGCGGAGCGACAGAGGACACCAGTACGGCCAGCAGCCCTGGGGGAGAAGGGGCAGGCTGCCATTAACCCTCCTGAACAGGAGCAAGAGCTGGGTGGGAATGAAAGAGTAGCTGGTGGGGTGGCCAGCTCTTATCTGCTGGTGCTGAGCGGGGTGTTGGGATGAGTTGGCCTGGTGTCTCCTTCCATCACCAGTTTGCAGGGCCCTGAGGGAACCAGGAACCCTGGTGCAAAAAAGGGGGAGGAAAAATGAAAAATCAGGGCAAAAAAAAAAACAAACAGAGAGGGGGTGAAGAAGAGAAAAAGATGCGGGGAAAAAAAAAAAAAGAAAAAAGGCAAAGAAGAAGAAAAAAAGAATAAAGAAAAAATAGAAAAGGAAAAGAATGAAAAATAATAAAGAAAAAGAAAATAATAAAGAAGAAATAATTAAAAAAAAAAAGAAAAAGAAGGAAGAAATAAAAAGTTGGGGTTTTTTTGTGGGTTAGGTGGCAGTTGTCTGGCTTGGCTTGGTTTGGTTTGGGGGAGGCATTGTTTTGGTGGGCTTTTTTGGCTTTGTTTTTGTTTTTTTTTCTCCACAAACATCCAGCCTTACCTGCTGGGCAGGCCCTGCTGCCCATCCCTACAAGCCACCCTGTCCACCACAGCAAGGGCTCTGTGCCCCTCCACGGGGACATCCCTCCATCCCCTCCTTTCCTTCCTTCGCCCTTCAACTGGGGACCCTCCTCTCCTGCCTCCCCCTGTGCTCAGCAACCTCTGTGGTGGCCCTGGGAGGGTGTCACTCACCCGTCAAGCAGGGCAACCTTGCCATGTCTGCTCTTGTCCCCAGCACGGTAGCCCTGGCGGTGGTGGAATGAGAAGGGAATGACATCACAGTTGGAGCGCCAGGGACAGGGATGCTTCTGCCTGTGGGGGTGTGAGGGGAAATGGGCACTCCAAGGGGAAGTGAGAAGCTGGGGACACGGGGACAAATCAAGCAGGAGGAGCAGGAGCCAAGGTAGGAGCTTCCCTGCAACAACCTGCAACAGCATTTGAAATCTGGCCAGGCTAACGCTGGGCTGAGGGTTCCCCAAAAGCGGTACCTTTGGGCATAGCTTGCCTGCACCAAGCATTTTGTGCTCTTCTGGAGGAGAAAGGAGAAAAAAATCTGGTCCACCTGCAGGAATCATGGAATCACAGATTTGTCAGAGTTGGAAGGGACCTCTAGAGATCATGTAGTCCAACTCCTCTGCCAAAGCAGGATTGCCCAGAGCACATCACTCAGGACTGCATCCAGGCGGCTCTTGAAAGTCTCCAGAGAAGGGGACTCCACACCCTCCCTGGGCAGCCTGTTCCAGGGCTCTGGCCCCCTCACCAGAAAGTTCTTCCTCATATTTGAGTGGAACCTCTTATGTTCCAGCTTGTGCCCATTGACCCTTGTCCTGTCACTGGGAACCACTGAAAAGAGTCTGGCTCCATCCTTCTTCAAACCACCCTTGAGATACTTGTAAACATCGATAAGGTCTCCCCTCAGCCTTCTCTTCTCCAGGCTAAAGAGCCCCAGCTCTTTGAGCCTTTCCTCATCAGGGAGGTTCTCCAATCCCTTAATCATCTTAGTTGCCCTCCGTTGGACTCTCTCCAGTAGTTCTCTCTTGAACTGGGGAGCCCAGAACTGGACGCAGTTTTCCAGTTGTGGCCTCACCAGTGCAGAGCAGAGGGGGAGAATGACCTCCCTCGACCAACTGGTCACACTCTTCCCTATGCAGCCCAGGATTGAGACACACACTCCGTGCCTCCCCCCCAAAGCATCACAGCACAGCCTTGCTTCAGGATGTGGTGGGAAGCTCGTTTGATCTCTCCTGGGCAGCTGTGCCACCTTCTGAATCCCCAGCAAGTCACAAGAGCACCAGCTGGTCCTCCTTTGCCCTCTCTGCACCTTAAAGCCTTCTCAGAGGCAAAACAGGGAATGGTGCTGGCAAAAGAACATTGGGACCACCAGCACAGAGGTGCCCCAGGGACCCCACAGGGCTGATTTTGAGGGAGCTCCACACCTGCCTGCCCATACCCAGCTCTTACCGCAGGGACCAAAGCGTGGGGCACAGACGCCATGGTCCCACGTGTGCACCTGGTGGAGAAGCAGCCGACCAAAGCGCCCCACACCCTCGCCAAGCTGTAACTCACCCTGAGATGCCTCGGTGGAAGGTAACGTCTCTGAGAGGCTTGAAGCCTGAGCGTTTAACGACCCCCGTTGAATTTCAGGATGTTTTTTGCAGCTTCTCAGAAACACAGCGACCAGGAGACATTTTTTGTTTTTCCAGCTGGCTCTTGCCACCCGCATTAAAACAGGCGGCACTGCTGGGGCTTGCGAATTTTAGCCAATTCCTAGTCTTCCCATTGCTTAGCTTGAGAAATGCTGTTTGTTAGCTGATTTTAGGCACCCCCAGGGCCTTCAGCTCCCCAGCTCTGGTAATCCCCTCTGCTCCTCCATAACAACAAAGCCCAGGCTGATTCCCGTGTCCTGGCTTGAGCGGCTTCCCAGGAGAGCTCAGCGCTGATGGAAAGGCATGACCTAGGAAAGCACACCGACATGGCGTGTCACACAGGGTTATTGATGCCTGGCAGGTGCTGGCTACATGGGCTGTGTCTACGTGTGCCAGCAAGGGATTTATGGCATATGGAAGCACGGAACAGGAACAAACGGACCAGAGTCCCTGGACATACACTGAGAACTCAGGCACAAGGCAGGAGATGAAGGAGCTGTCAAAGAAGTCATCCTTGGTTGATGCTCTAGTAGCAACGCCCGTGGGGAGCTACTCTGTATTTGGGAAGAAGGCGGTTAGTGATGTGAGGACAGCTTGGCTACTTAGCACTTCTCATGCACTGTGGCATACTCCGGATTTGGTTCAGGTTGTCAAATTCCTTCAGGGAGCTCTTATGGCCCACAGGTGCCTGGAGAAGCCAGCTACTCTGTGGCGTGCACCCAGCAAGGTTGGGAGGCTGCGAGTGGAGCAGAAACTGCTGTGCTGTGGGGCTAGGTTTGTGCCAGCTGGATATGGGGCAATGCTGTTTTAAAGTTCTGCAAAAACCTCTTTGGGAGAGGGGTGAGGACAGGAGGAACAGTAGTTCTGACAAGACACATCAGTGTGGCAAGTTGGGAGGGAGTCTTCTCTCTACTGCGGCACCAAGCAATTGCGGTGGTCCGTAATGAGCAACATAGGGGTGATGTTAATTCCAGTATTTTCTGATTGCCGAGGGTTAACCTGGCACCTATAAGGCTGTACCACTGATGATGTATTACAAGCCATATAATTCGTGCACTGAAGCAGATTTACGGCCTTGTTTTCAGCGCCACCACAAAATGACGTTTCCTGCAGATGGTGGTGCTGCATGAGCCAAAGCTCGGTGGGCTGATGTCTGCAGCTGTAACCCCCAGGCCTACAGTGTGTCTGACCCCAGCAGTAGGGTCGCATAGCTGTTAGAAGGAAAGGAGCTGCATTTTCCATGTTGCTATCCCATTGCCGTGTCGAATCCAAGCTTTGGAGGGGCCTGTCTGGTTTGTGAGGGACCACCCTTTGGCAGACAAGCTTCTCTTCCAAGACACTCATCTTGTTGTCTTCAATGCCTCATCTTTTTCTCAGCATTTTCCTATCTGCATGTTCCACCACAAAATCCACCAGGAGCAGCAATATCTGAAAAACTCTTGAAAACCCCAGGACTGTGGCTCACAGACCCTTTTTCCTCTGCTTCAAGGGTTACATTGCCCCTTCACAGAATCACAGAATGGTAGGGGGTTGGAAGGCACTTTTAGAGATCTAGTGTGACCTTCCTGCCAAAGCAGGTTCACCGAGAGCAGGTTGGACAGGAACACATCCAGGCAGGTTTTGGATATCTCCAGAGAAGGAGACTCCACGCCCTCTCTGGGCAGCCTGTTCCAGGGCTCTGTCACCCTCACTGTGAAGAAGTTTTTTCTCATATTTGAGTGGAACCTCTTATGTTCCAACTTGTGCTCGTTGCCCCTCATCCTCTCACTGGCAACCACTGAAAAGAGTCTGGCTTCATCCTCCTTCAAACCACCCTTTAGATACTTATAAGCATTGATAAGGTCTCCTCTTGGCCTTCTCTTCTCCAGACTAAAGAGTCCCAACTCTCTCAGCCTTTCTTCATTAGGGAAATGCTCCAATCCTTGAATTGTCTCTGCCCAACTCTCTGGCCTGTCCAGGTCTCACCATATGGTGACACAACCTTCTGGTGTGTCAACCACCCCTCCCAGTTTGGTTGCATCAGCAAACTTGCTGAGGATACGCGCTGTCCCCTCATCCAGGTCATTGATGAATGTGATGAACAAGACTGGCCCCCAGGGGAACACTGCTAGCTACAGGCCTCCAACTAGACTCTGTGCCACTGATCACAACCCTCTGACCTCTGCCATTCAGCCAGTTCTGAATCCACTTCACTGTCCACCCATGAAACCTACGCTTCCTAAACTTACCTGTGAGGATGTTAGGCCTTGTTTTCAGCGCCACCACAAAATGACGTTTCCTGCAGATGGTGGTGCTGCATGAGCCAAAGCTTGGTGGGCTGATGTCTGCAGCTGTAACCCCCAGGCCTACAGTGTGTCTGACCCCAGCAGTAGGGTCGCATAGCTGTTAGAAGGAAAGGAGCTGCATTTTCCATGTTGCTATCCCATTGCCGTGTCGAATCCAAGCTTTGGAGGGGCCTGTCTGGTTTGTGAGGGACCACCCTTTGGCAGACAAGCTTCTCTTCCAAGACACTCATCTTGTTGTCTTCAATGCCTCATCTTTTTCTCAGCATTTTCCTATCTGCATGTTCCACCACAAAATCCACCAGGAGCAGCAATATCTGAAAAACTCTTGAAAACCCCAGGACTGTGGCTCACAGACCCTTTTTCCTCTGCTTCAAGGGTTACATTGCCCCTTCACAGAATCACAGAATGGTAGGGGGTTGGAAGGCACTTTTAGAGATCTAGTGTGACCTTCCTGCCAAAGCAGGTTCACCGAGAGCAGGTTGGACAGGAACACATCCAGGCAGGTTTTGGATATCTCCAGAGAAGGAGACTCCACGCCCTCTCTGGGCAGCCTGTTCCAGGGCTCTGTCACCCTCACTGTGAAGAAGTTTTTTCTCATATTTGAGTGGAACCTCTTATGTTCCAACTTGTGCTCGTTGCCCCTCATCCTCTCACTGGCAACCACTGAAAAGAGTCTGGCTTCATCCTCCTTCAAACCACCCTTTAGATACTTATAAGCATTGATAAGGTCTCCTCTTGGCCTTCTCTTCTCCAGACTAAAGAGTCCCAACTCTCTCAGCCTTTCTTCATTAGGGAAATGCTCCAATCCTTGAATTGTCTCTGCCCAACTCTCTGGCCCGTCCAGGTCTCACCATATGGTGACACAACCTTCTGGTGTGTCAACCACCCCTCCCAGTTTGGTTGCATCAGCAAACTTGCTGAGGATACGCGCTGTCCCCTCATCCAGGTCATTGATGAATGTGATGAACAAGACTGGCCCCCAGGGGAACACTGCTAGCTACAGGCCTCCAACTAGACTCTGTGCCACTGATCACAACCCTCTGACCTCTGCCATTCAGCCAGTTCTGAATCCACTTCACTGTCCACCCATGAAACCTACGCTTCCTAAACTTACCTGTGAGGATGTTATGGGAGACTTTGTCAAAAGCCTTGCTGAAGTTGAGAAGAAACTCATGAAGATGAAGGCTACAAAGATTAGGTGTAAATTCCAGACTCAGCACCTTGTCAAGTAGCATCCCTAGAAAGCATGCATCTTAAATAATTGGACATGTAAGCAGAGATGACAGAAAACCGCTTC